AATAAACACATTAGAGTTAGTTCAATCTTGCTTTTATATATATATATATATATATATGATGTACTCATTTGTGTATATCTACATTGCATGGAACGTGTACATCCTGGCTACAATTCGCGCCCTGACACGCAGGCACGCGCGCACGCGAGCACGCGCGCACGCGCGTACTACTCTGTCATATTCCGACACTGAGCCCCGGGTTCGCAGCCAGCCAAGCATCCGCGATCAGTGGAGGGCGTATTGCACGGGTCTCACTTTCATCTCGCTGCTCATGAGTGCCTCGGAGTGACCGGGCCAGGTGTACCACACGACTCCCTTCGTGTTGTCCTCTCCGTAAAGTCCGTTCAGGTTCGAATGGTGGCAGAACCCGTACCACCAACCGCCCTTGTGAGATTCAGCGCAGCTGCCGGTCTTGTGGGTGTCGTTGTCCCGGTCCGGAGTGCTGAAATTCTTCCCGTGATGAGCAGATATCATCGAGTCGTCTGAAAATGATGAGAAGCGTGTGAGGCGGGGGGAGGTAATGTGGGTGACGGTGAGCGCGTGATTGCGAATTGAGAGAGAAAGCGAGAGGGAGCGGGAGAGATAGATAGATAGAGTGTGAGAGAGAGAGAGAGAGAGAGAGAGAGAGAGAAAGCGAGAGGGAGGGGGGAAGAAAGATAGATAGAGTGTGAGAGAGCGAGAGAGAGCAAGAAGAGAGTGCTATGCATACAACGATATTATGCGTATAACAATGTATACATTGTTCTGCATGGAACAATATATTCATATACATATAACAATGTATATATTGTTCTCGCAGACGCGAACGAGCGTTTACCCGCAGTGCCGTGGTACATGCCGACGTTGAGCTTGTACAGCGCCCTCTCTGAAGCGATGCTGAAAACATCGTACGTGGCGTATCGCGTCTCGCCCGAGAATCTTCTCAGATCGATTCGTAGCTGCATCGGTACGGGGGTGGTGAGAGCGCTCAGTCGGTCGTTGCCTGCATGAGAGTGTGAGAGTGAGAGAGAGACGTCGTTACGACGCATGCGCAATCGCCACACTTCTTCGGTGAAATTGCACCAGCGACGAACTTAAATTAAATTTGGTGTATTTTACTTTTTTATACCCGGGTGCATGTCGGGAGAATTTGATTCAACGCCGGGTCACTGCATGCGGGCGGGCGTGCGTGCGTGCATGCGTGCGTGCGTGCGTGGCGTGCGTGCGTGCGTCTGTCTCAACCTCACCTGTGCATGTGATCGTGAGAAACGTTTCGCTTGTCAAACAATCACGTTTTGATTTTAGCGTGAGCGACGTGTGGCAAGCGAAAATCGATATAGCAACCACAGAGTTGTCGCTACACCTACAAATCCACGTTTTGAACCGCGGCGTTAAATCGAATTCTGCCGACATTCACCTGGGTATATAAAGTTAAAATACGCCGAATTAAAATTTCGTCGCATGGCGCAATTCGCCGAAAAGTGTGGCGATTGCGCATGCGTCGTAACGACGTCTCTCTCTCACTCTAATGCAGATAACAACGTCTCTCTCTCTCTCACTCTCATGCAGGCAACGACCGACTGAGCGCTCTCACCACCTCCGTACCGATGCAGCTCCGAATTGATCTGAGAAGATTTCTCGGGCGAGACGCGCTACGCCACGTAGCGATGTTTTCAGCATCGCTCAGAGAGGCGGCGTACAAGCTCAACGTCGGCATGTACCACGGCACAGCGGGTAAACGCTCGTTCGCGTCTGCGATAACAATATATACATTGTTATATATATACATTGTTATATGTATATGTATATATTGTTGCATGCACAACAATATAAACATTGTTATATGTTTATGTATCTATTTTTGCATGCAGAACAATGTAAACATTGTTATATGTATATGTATATGTAAAATATGTTATATTATTGCTGATGCAAACAATATATACATTGTTATATGTATATTAATATTGCTGCTGCACAACAATAATACATTGTTATACTGTAAATGTATATATTTTCCATGCCACAACATATTATATATTACATGCTATTATGTATACGTTATATATTGTTGCCATGCACTAACGATATATACATTGTATATGTATATGTACATAATTCGTGCAATGCCACAATCAATATCATACATTGTTATATATGTATTCCTATATATTGTTGCAATGCACAAACAATATCATACATTGTATATGTTATATGTATTATGTTGCCATGGTAGCGATCTGCGGCGAGTAGCATCGCACACTGCTCATTATTATTTCAAGGCAACCTAGCGAAGCAGAGGTGTCACACACCGATGTGCAGGGGTGTGTTAATAAACTGACCGGATAGCGTCGTCGACAGATGGAGTGCGGAGAGGGGGATCACGCGGTGCTCGCGAAGGCGGCGATGCAAGGCCGCATTAAGAGGCGTCTGCGAAGCTCAGGCAGGTGAGAAGATAATGCCCGGAATGTCGGTCACAAGGCCGGGCTAATATTAAAAGGCGCGCCGCGCTTGGAGCGGAGGAACTCCTCTCCCATTGTTCTTCACGCCATATCTGTCCGTGTCGCACGTAGCTCCCTGTTGCCGTTGACCTTACCGCGGCTTTGCCGTTTGCTGTTATATCACGGCTTACAATATATGTGATTGTGGTACGTTACTCCTCTGAGTTCTGTATTTTGCTTTGGGGGCGTCTTGTGCTAACCTATCGTTACCGCTACACACTATACGAATCAACGCAAAGTACAAACTTTACACATCATCAATCAATAGAACGTGTATATGTGTAGTATATATTGTTGCATGTAGAAACAATGTAAACAGTTGTTATTAGTACTATGTTTATTATGTGCATGCAGAACATATAAACATTGTTATATGTATACTGTATTATATTGTTGGGCAATGTAAACAATGTAAACATTGTTATCATGTATATTATATATGTTGCATGTAGACAATGTAAACATTTTATATGTATATGTATATAGTTGTTGCATGATAGAACAATGTATAACATTGTTATAGTGTATAGTGTATTTATGTTGTGCATGCAGAACAATTATAAACATTTGCTATATGTTATGCTTATAGATTGTGACATGGCACAACAAGATAACCATTGTTATATTGTTTATGTATATATTGTTGCATGCAGGCAACAATGTATACAGTTGTTATATTTTATATGTATATATTGTTGACATGCATGAACAATGTATAAATGTTATACAAATATTGTTGTATGCATAGCATCTCCTCTCTCTCTCTCTCTCTCTTCCTCTCTCTATCTCGCACACCTATCCTATCTATTCTCCCGCTGCCCTCT